AACAATTCAATAAAATGTCATATGTATATCGCATTGTGTGTTCACCACCGAAAGGTAAATTTTTTCCTTCACCTTATATTTGACCCCCTTTACTCTTATCTACATCTTTTCCCCACTCTTTCTCTCTAATAACCACTAAACTGTTGTCTGAGTCTATGAGTTTTTGTTTGTCTTGTTTATTTGTTGCTTTCAGTTTTATATGTTGTTTATATTTTTTCCAATATTAAGTTATAGTTGACAAAGTTGTATATATTTAAAGAGCACAACTTGGTGATTTAATATACACATACACTGTGCAGTATTCACCACAGTCAAGCTAATTAACATATCCATCACCTGGCATTGTTATCCTTTTCTGTGTGTGTGGTGAGAACTCTTAAGATCTACCTCTTAGCAAATCTCAAATATACAATATAAAATACTATGAAGATTTTAAACACTATACCTGCCTTGGGTAAAGAGAGAGTAATTTTTTTCCCGTACATATTAAAGAGAGATCCTGCTGGCTCAAATCCTAATATTTAAGCTTTTGTATTTTATGAACTGTTGTCACACAGACTTAAATAATGGGGAAGTCAGCTCTGTTTGAATGGATTCTCAGAGAATGTTCTTAATACATGGTGTCAGTGGAAGAAATACCATTTTTAATTTCTCATTACTCTTAGACTATACAAAAGCTCACTTATTTTTATGTATGTACATATTTACTATTTCAGAATACATCAGGGAGCTTTTATAGTCCCCGAGGAAACTGAATCGGTGCACACCAGCAATGTGGTAGAGGTCGGTGAGGCAATCGCGTCAGCTCAGGCAGGAGCAACTGCAGGTATGTGTCATGGTCATCCGAAGTTAAGATTCATGGCTATGTAAATTATTTTCTCCCATTGTTAATTTTGAAAAGTTACCCATCTATTATCCGTGTATAAAGAAAACAAAATTAACCCATTTTTATAAGGCTCATGTGTCTTGCACATGTAAGACACTGGTGGGCACTGCAGAGCAGTGGTTGTCAAAGTGCATTCCCTGGACCAGTAGCCTCCGCATCACCTGGGAACTTGTAAGGAAGGTAAAATCTCTGGCTCCGCCCTGGACCTTCTGAATCAGAAACTGTGGGAATGAGACCCAGCCAGTTGTGATTTAATAAGTTCTCCATGTGAGTCTTTCTGATGCATTTTCAAGTTTGGGAACCCCTGCTACACAGGATACAGAGTTGAATAAAACACAGATACTTGGCTTTGAGGAATGCACACTTCATTCACTATAGGTTTAATTAATAGAAAAGAATCATTTCCAACTAGAATGGTTTTTTAGTGCAAATTGTGTCACTCAAGCTGATTTCAAACAGTTTGTTTCATTCAACAAATATAAATTCCTTGCCTGTGTGCCAGGAATTGTGTAAAGCTCTGGGCATACAGTCTAATTAAGATAGACTCAGCTGCCATTCTCACAAAGCTATAAGGATAGAAAGATAATTCAGGAAGCAATTTTACTGTGGCCCCCAGAGCAGTCAAGAGGGAGCATAGTACCAATGCCTTTATCTGACAAATGAGGAAACCAAGTCAAAGAAAGTTGACAGATTTTTCCAAGGTCACATGAATAGTTTAGTGTTTAGTATGGCCAAATTGAGATTCTGTTCATTCTCTGCCCTACAGTGGATTGCTTAATTTGTATCAGTTCAATATATTTTATTAATTAAGCACCTCTTACTTGAAAGGCTCTTATGAGACATACAGTGTATAACACATGGCCTTTGCCTAGTAAGGGAGCTAAGACAAGTCGAAAATAATAATATTACTAGATAGAATGTTATAAGTGCTAGCCGAATGGACCAATAAAATGCCATAGAAAAAGTTTTTAGAAGAGATCATTTTCTGTAAGAAGGAGTAAATATTCCCTGGAATGTTATTTAACTTCTTATTATTTTTAGTAACTCTCCCACCAACCCCAACTTGAAACTATCTTAAAAAGTTAAAGAAGTATATGACATTCCGGCCCCTTTCTAAAATATCAACAATTCTAAAATAGTACCATCTAATTGGAGGTTTTATTATAGTAAGTTATTATTCTTGGACCACTGAAAGTTGTAGCCTTGATTACTCCAGTTCATTTTACTTCTCTCCTTGTGGTAGACTAGCACCATTAAGTAACTGCTACCCTCCATGTTTTTCTTATAGTTTGGACTGAAAGGACTGTGGAATGGTCAAACAACTATTTCTACTCTTCCTGTGTTAACAATGAAGAAGAAGAAAGACCCCCAATGGTTAGTAATAGCATATTAAAATAGATGAATAGAAACTCTTGAGGCAATTTTACTGATAAAATAGATGAAGTATGGAGGGACAATCTTTTGTCAGTATCCTTGAAGTCATTAGGTGTATTCCATGGCCAAAAGATTTGAAACTTATTATGAACATTCAGTAAGCATTTCTTTCTGTAAGTAAAACTTATTTGAGCTATACATGGAGTTTTTTTCCTGAAGTTGATGAGATGAATAGCTAGTCATTCCAAGTCTCTATACATTGACCAGTTTTATCTTTAATTCAGCTCTACCACTGTGTTTTCAATTGAGGCATGTTGAGATAAAATCAAAGAATAAAGGAGGGTCAAATACACTTTAACAAGTTTAGGTTCCAGATTGGAAACTATAGGCAATGAACATTATACATTAAAAACTCTTTAATAACATCTGGGAAATATATTTTAGTGGGCTATCAAAAAAATGTGCTAACGATACCAAATCTCAGCATATTAGAGCAAGGGGTCATCCCATAAAACTAAAAGAGGTTGCTTTATAAGTGTTTTATAGAAGAAATCATTTGCAATGTTGTTAAGGTCTTAGGGGGTTATTAGAGGGGAGTGAGGACTGTTGAAGATGTATGTATCTCCAATTTTCTGAAGTCATCAGATCAGCTTGGATGGTGGGAATGATGCTTTGTAGTGGACTGCTCCTTTGTGCCTTTCAGAGGAACAAAATTGATTTGGCAGTTCTAATATTGGGGTGAGGAAATCATGGCATGGATAACCACAAAGCTGCAGAGAATCAACTCGAATGCTTTCTTTAAGAAAGTAACAGAATGTTCTTTCTATTAATAATACATAAACATAGTTATAGGGAAGTTTATAGTTTACAATATGATTTTACATTTAACATTCATAGTGTTAGTGAGAGGAAAGGTAGGCTTTATTATCTTCAATTGACAGAGGAGGAAACTGAGGCTCAGAACAGGTACGAGGTTTATCCAGAGGTAGTTGTCTAGACTGGCAATGCTCAAACATTTAAAGCAGGAACCCTCAATGTTATTAAAAATTCTCGAGAATTACAAAGAGCTCTCATTTGCATCTATTGATATTTACCATATTCTAAATTAAAACTGAGGAATATAAAAACTATTCATGCTTTTAAAATATTAATTAACCCATTATATTCATATAAATAACATTTTTATTATAATTTACATTTTCAAAACAAAACATTTAGTGGGAAATGTGGCATTTTACATATTTTTGCAAGTCTCTTTAACCTGCTGTTGCATTCAGTCTTTCGTGCTATAACACATCAGGCAGCCTCTAGAAAATACCACTCCATACTTGTGAGAGGATGAGAGCGAAAAGGTCTGTGTCGTCATGCAGGTTTGACCTTGCAGACCTTTGGAAGGGTGTCAGAAACCTCCAAATGTCTGCTTCCCAAACTATGAGAATTGCCGATTTAGATTAATAATAAAAATAACTTCCATGTCCTTAATTAATATAGTCTGAGGGTAATAGTTGTTCAAGTGTGCGTGAAAAGTCAGGGGAAGCCAATTTGGATTCAAACATTTGCTGTAGATGCTCTATGAGGGGATTATCAAGAACTGACAGAAACTTCAGTAAGCATTTTCCCAACTATGGGGTCAGAAAATAAAGCAAATATGCAAAACTGATTAATGCTTTAATCATAGAGGATGGGAATATAGAAAAACCTATTAGTTTTCTTCTCCCAATAATTCACTGAGGTGTACTACTAAGGAAAATATACAAAAGAACAAATCAGAACATACCAAAAAAAAAAAGAAAGAAAGAACCCCGTCCCCCCAAAAAAGAAAAACAAGTTGCAATGAATTGCTCATTTAGCCTCACTTTACCAATCAAAAAGTCAGAAATAATGGGTGCTGCTTCCCTCATAGAGGCCCGTGTCGGAGATGGCTCTTCTATTTTGATGAAGCTACTGTGTTAAATGGCGAGTTGCTCTCTCCTGCCTGCTCCTCAGCCCATTCGATAAAAGTACTGCTCAAAGACGCTCAGCCCAAGTGATGCGGATATCGTTTTTAGCTTAATTCCTTTGGATGTGCAAAGAATCAACATCACATATTATTTTTTTTCTTTCATTAATTTTTTTTAATTATGGTACTCTTTGAAATTATGTATTCAATGTATAAGATATTATACTGGAAAAATTCTCATCTCTGAATACTTTTGGAAATGAAATTTATGATTTTTTTCCATCTACTTTGTAACCAAATGCAATCAGTGTGCCTTGGATTATTTAGCTTATTAATGAATCAAATTAAAATTTTAGCTGCAAAAAGATTAAGGCCAAGTAAAGCACAACATTATGATTTATCTGCTTTTATTGGACCCAAAGTTTTTGTGCCCATTATTTTTACTGGTGCAAAACAGTAGAAAGCCTAGAAATCCTTTTGAGGGTATTAGTAAATCTTTGTTCAGGGCCATTGCTTTTTGTATGCACCAAGATAAATTTTTCATGAGAGTAGTTTACAAATAATGGTATTTAAAAATTATTTTCATGTTTGTTTTTTTTCTGGATTTATGCTTACAATTCAATTAGTTGTGCTCTGTTATTTTCTGTGTACTTCATGCTGTAATTCTCTTTTTGCAAATAAAAATGAGTTCTTCAGGTAAAATAAATACACGTTCTGCTTTTTTCCCCATCACAAACTGTTTCATGTTTATTTTGTTCCTTCAAAGCTGCTGCAGCTACCACATTTACCATTGAAGTAACATGTGACTTCTTTATATCTCACAGCGTGCAGTTGTGTAAGTACTTTTGCAATCAAGTCTATAATGTAATTTTTCAAAACAGCCTTGTAGTGTCCAGGCAAATATAAAGTCCTATCAGATTGCAGGAAGAGAGGCTCAGAAGACCTCCTGATTAGAAATGGAGATGTCATTCAGCTTCTCCATGAGGATGCTGAGGGTCAATGGTAGGTGCGTTCTCCATGCCTGTGATGACCACCCGGGGCACATGGATATCTAATCAAATGTTCTGCTTTACTTGAATCTTTGTTATACAGTCTCCAGAAGCAGAAATATCACATTTATCAGCGTTTCATTTTCGTTGCTTCAGCTATGCCTGTATAGCTCACTGAAAGGAATGTTAACCTTTGGTGAGTGAAAAATGCTCTTTTGTGGCTTACCTTTGATGTTTCAGCTGATACATCTGGCTTTGTAATGGCTACAGATCATATGACATGTGGTAATTTAAGTCATTCATTAAATCATCACATCTTTAATGAATGCCTACTATGTGCTGGAGACCATGCTTTGCTCCTGGACAACACAACCACCCTCCTCTTTATCATTTCAAATACTGACTTTTTAGCCTTATTCGATCCATATATGTTTGACTTCACATAGCACCAATTGCAAAGATGGTTTTGCCAAATACACTGTTAAATCCTAGAGAACCCAGAGCAGGAAGGGAATATTGTTTGGAAGAGGAATGAATGAAGCTTTCATAAATCTTGGAAATTTTATATGAAATAATTCTGTCTTCATTATGTCAATAACTTTAACTTAAACGCTGTGAATTCTGACCATAAAGGTGGAAGCGAATACACATGAGGGTGAAAATCAATGACATAGCATTAAAATAATAACCATTTTTGATAGTAACCTAAGTCCTTTGTAGGTTTTGCAGAGGACTCAAAAACAGTCTCATGATCTTTGAATACATGCAATAGCTTTGTAAAAATTTGAGCTGCAATTTAGTCTTTGATTTTTATTAGCTTATATTACCATTGTTGGCTACTAATTCATTTATTATTTAGGTTGATGAAAAATCTAAACAGAAGAAAAGAAGGCCTCATTCCAGGGAACAGTTTGCAGATTTTAATCGGTGACTGTAGGTTTTGGAATGCCAAAATTACAGGTATAATATGAACAGACTGTACACTACTTGTTTAAAGGCTAAAATTTTTAAAACTTGCCGTTGGCATAGGATAAGAACCTCTTTGCACTTAGAAATGAAGCTGCAAGCCTATTATGTTAGTTAGGATTTAATTTTTTCCTTTAATGATTTTAAATTAATGACTAAAGATTTTTTTAACATGTTAAACTTTCTTCTACAAGATTAATAGGTTTGAAAGGGAGCTTCAGATACTGTCGTGTCTTATAAGAAGAGATCCTTCAGAACTAAATATTGATGATAGGCTTTTAAGGTACCTTACTATCCAAGAATGCTCTACCAGTATGTTTTTACTCAGTTCACAGAATATGTTATTTTCTTATGATAGTTCCTGCTACACACACACACACATGCACGCACGCACACACACACACTTCCTTCTTTGTGTCTGTGCCCAAGACTTAATGTGGGAAGGTAATCTGAAGCCACGAGAATTACCCTTATGTTCCTTTCTATTAACACAACCCTTCATATATAAAATTTCTGTATACAAACCAGTATTGTCGCTTTTCGCCCTAAGCAATACTGAGCTATCTATAAAAAGGCAGCACAAAAAAAGAAACCAGACTTGTTTGTGAATAAGATTATTATATATACATATTTTCTTTGAATTTCTAGTTTTAGACTTGTATTTAAATTCCAGGGAATGGTATACTATGTTTAGCTGAATCTCATAGACTGGGAGTAACTTATTTGGTTTTAATTTTATTTATGACATGAAACAAAAATCTAAAGGTGATAAGGCTCAACATAAATATCAGGTCATTTGGCAATGCCACAAATGGAGTCATTTCTTGTTTGTTTGGTTTTTTGGCACCCTAAATCTGAGTCACTTTTCAAAGATTTTCTGTACTAATTGTTGAATTATTTAGATAATTATTGGAGTTACTGAATTATTTAGATAATTAGTAATCAGAAGACTAAGATATACCAACAATCTAAACTAATTGACATTTATTTAAAATCTACAACCAACAACTGCAGAATATGCCATTATTTTTAAGTATACATGGAACATTCACTAAGGTTGATCATATGCTATGTCATGAAATAAGTCAATAAATTTCAGAATTTTGGAATCACATAAAGCCTCATAAGGTATTATATTAGAAATCAATAATCCCTAAATATTTGGATGGTAAATGGTGTATGTCTAAACAGCACACGAGACAAAGAAGAAAGCACAAGAGACATTAGAATTATTTCAAGTTGGATGAAAATGAAA